TGTCGATTGTGCAAATGTCTTCCCACACACAGGGCACAGGAATGGCTTCTCACCCGTGTGTGTTTTCTGGTGACTCTGAAGATGTGATGAGTGTGCAAATGTCTTCCCACACACAGAACACAGGAACGACTTCTCGCCCGTGTGTGTTCTCTGGTGTCTCTGAAGATCTGATGGCCGTGAAAAGGACTTCCCACACACAGAGCAATTGAATTGCTTCTTTCCTCCGTGTGCGTGGGGCTGTGGAGAGCGTCTCTGCTCCATGTGAGCGTAGTAACAGCAGCGGTGTTATTGAGTCAAAAGTACGCTATCGGCCGCAAGGATGTTTAGCGTTTTGGATTTTGTTAACTGCTAAAACAAGAACGACACTCGCGTCTAACCGAGACGCAAAAAAATCCTGCTAATTTGACGACGAACACGTTTAAGAGTTTATCCGCGAAAATAGACACCTACTTGGAGATTCACGGTATATCGATGTCTGGAACCCGTCTGAAGATGTCGCCACGAACTCTCCCGACGCAAAGTCGCCTAACTGTCGACACAGCAATTGTGCTCGCCAGGCTGCGTTGTCTCGCGGTTGAAGGGCGATCAGCAGAGCGACGAGTCGAGGTTCCGAACTCATCAAGTTCCCTCTCGAAATGGCATTGAGCTCTGCTTCTGAGCCGCCTTATAACTCCCCCCCTACGATCCAATCCTTTGTCTTTCAGAATATTTGCATTCGATTGTTAATTTTGGAAGGCACAGTCCGCAAGTCTATTAACATACCGAAGGGTAATGTGCCCATTGTGCTTCATGCATGAATATGTAAGTGCATCTCAGTGTGTAATTGTGCGCTTATTTTGAATTAATGGAAAAACTTTGTCCTCGATTTAAAGTGAATGCAGAGAAATTAGCATGTAACTTTAGAAAAGGAAGAGAGCGGCCTTCTCGACGAGGGAGTGAAACCCAATAGGTAATATTCTTTTACAGCGTTACAGTGGATAGGTTGTAGTTCATAGGTTATAATATTATGTTTCACTATGATAGAGCTTAACATGTGAGAGTATACAATATCAGAGTTGATCAAATGCGACGATAATGGGCGTCAATCGGGTGAGTTTGATCAGAGGCTTTAATCAAAGGCGTCATCCCATCACGGAACACCACCTCCCTGCGTTTATTACAGTAACAGAAGCAATTACAGCAGCAACAACAGCAGCGACAACAGCAGCAACATCACATTTTGAGGGCGACGCAGCTACTTCCGATTCTGCCGCCCAGCTGTTTGTAGTCGGGACCTGCTCTCGCAGGACCCCACACGTCTTTGGAAATGATTGCGATGATCATGTCTTAGCTGAGAATCAAGTCACTCAAGATTACTTTGTTTAACCATAACTTTAGGTAGGTTAGTGTCATCGGGGCTGTGTGAATACTACTCATGAATGAAATCACACTCCTGTATGACCGACATTGTACTAATTTTGGTTGATCGAGTAGAACAAGTCACATGACATGTCCAGACGAGTTATTATCAACAATAGTGTCCTTATATATGATGCTAAAATAAATGTTAACACTGGATTAAACGTGCATCTCTTAACCCCTCCCTCGCATTTACGACTAAAGATTTGCATTTGCACGTAACATACATTCAAGCCCATTAAAATGCTAATACGACCATATTGTTATTCTGAAATTTGAATGCAAGTCTTGCCCTGTACCTCCCCACCCCACGGTTCACATATCCGACCCCCGATTGAACAGATAATTTACATACACATCTGTATGTCCCCCAAGTTGCTCCGCCTATGGTGGGGTCAGGTAGAGGTCATAGAGGTGGGTGATGTAAAGACAGTGCGTCAACTAAGGGACAAGTGGTGACAACAAGATAGAGAGAGTTCGAGAAGGGAAGGCGAGACCAAGTGTGGGCGGAGGTTCACGCCGAGAATGAGAGAGGGGGAGGAACGAGCTTTGGGGCTGTGTTGGCTGGTTGCTGTCTCGTCGTCGTCGTTGCGACATCGTGACGCCTGGGGTCTGAAACCGCGTTAAAGGCTAAATAAAAGAGTTTGGAGTAATTACAATTTTAACGATTCATAATTGCACTGGCTTAAATTGGGTTTGTTCGATTAATTTATATATTCATACTGAATATTGCTATTTGATGCCATTGAGATGGAACATTCATCCAATAGTAGACAGCTTGATCCTAATACCTCCAAAGTGTTATTCAAATAATTTTAATCCCATCCTGATCCTGCACCTTCCGCTTCACATATCCCACCCTTGGTTCGCACGTCCATATTACATATGTAGGGGTTATTACGGGAGAAACGGCGGACAACAAACACAGGACTGTCGGCACTCACATACACGGGTGGTCACACCGACGTCCGCATCAGTTATTGCCCACGCCCCCAGCCCTCGGAGGCGATCCTTATAAAAGGTGGAGACCCAAAGAGCTCGAGTTCAGTTCGACACGAAGCTGACCAGTGAAGATCCAAGACTCGGAGATTAGGCCCTGGGACTCCCCGGTCTCGCCGTCCTTATAAGGGCCGAGCCGGGTAAGCCAGTGGCGCGGCCCAAGAGCTTCCAGACCGCTGCCCTTATCAGGGCAAGGCTGGTTAGCTAGTGCCGAGATCTGTGCTTGCCAGGGCCAGATCAGTCAGCCTCCCGTAGCCCAGTAGAGGAGGACTGGGGGACAGGACAGAGGGCTTAGGAATAGGGTGGGTTTCCCATAGTACGGGTGAAGGGGCCGATACCCCTTCAACTATTGTGCCTGTCCCTGGGTTAATAAACAGAGTGTGCTTCAACTTCGACATCGTTTCCTCGAAATTACTACACATACATACATGTTACATGCATACATACTACATAGAGACATATCTCATGCATACATATTACATACAGACATGTTACATACATACATATTACATTCATGCATATTACATACAGACATGTTACATACTCACGAGCATAGTGTGATTCTTAGAGGACCACGGTGTGAAGCAAAGAATTCGAATGAGATTCGAATATCACACTTGTTTATGATGTTATTTTATAGCGTTATAATGTATCGCTGTTAGCTTATATTGTTAGAGTTCACAACATTATAGTTTACTATAACACTAGTTTGTAGTGTTATTTTTAAGCGTTACAGTGTATAGCTCATAGTTTGAAGGTTATATTGATAGTTTATAATGTTAGAGTATACAATGTGAGTTTACAATTTGAGAGTTTGTGAACGTGCCCTGTTCTCGTGGGACCCGACACGGATTTGGAAATAATTGCTAAGATCATGTCTGAGCTGAGATAAGCGACTAATGTTTACTTTGTTTAATCATAACTGTGTGTAGGTTAGTGCTATCGGGGCTTAGTGAATACTACTCATGAATTAACTCATACTTCTTTCGGATATAAATTGAAATCATGTTGGTAGAACAAGTCGCCTGCATTTTCTAGACGAATTGTTATCTTCAAGTGCGTCCGTAAATAAACTGCTAAAATACACAGCATAGGGAAGGTTGTTTTGTTGGGGAGATGTAGTTTGGGTAAGGCGCTGTGGCCGGGTGATGACACGGATTCTGAAACAATGGAGTTAAACACTCGCTGCTTGGCCTCGTCGACAGCAGCGAAGGCTGTCATATACCGCCCCATTTACGAGTTGGATGTATAATGTGTATAGTTGAAGGTGCTAGGTGTTGTCTTCTTCTAACAGCTGCTAACGTGCGTGTGTTTTCTGTTTTTAAGACTTGCCCATTGATGTTGTTTTTTTGCGGCGTTTTTTTGTTGAGTTCTGTCACTTGAGTGTTGCAGTTTCTTTAAGAATTCGTCACGTGAGCGTGGTGTTTTGCTTGTGGGAATTTCGCTTTGTTACAATTTGTGATTGTTATAAAATTGTAACGATTCATGATCGCATGCGTTTATAATGGGTTTGCGCGTGTATTTATATAAATATATTCCGTCTTGTTAATCGATGACATCTAGCAGTGAAAATCGTGATTGTAATATGACCATGTTGTAATTGTAATAATTTTTTATCCGATCCTTGCACGTACACTATACATACATATTAGCGATTCTTATACGACCACACTGTGATTCTAATGCTTCTAATGATATTATAATACCTTAGCTCCGTTTAAATGGTTATAAATTGAAACACTAGTTTATAATCGTTTAATGTTTAGTATTATCGTTCATAGTATTACAGTTGACATGTTATAGAGAACAGTTTATCCCCGACATACTTGTGTGACGGAGATACTCCATTTGAAATTATCTTAACATGTTTTTGCTAGGAACATTATAAATAAAGACCGGACAAACATTTGTTAAAAAATCGTTTTTATTCATCTGCAATAATTTTTAGGTCAAAACTCGAATGGAATATTTATTATGTCCTATGTTCACACATTTCCAGTACAATGCAAACCATATCCGTTCCAGGAATACCAAAGCGTTAAAGTATCATTCCCCATTATTTCCTTATTAGTTCACCACATTTGTTCACTGTGCGTCTATGTTGAAGTCAAGGCCATATATCCAACGAACGCGTCATCAATGTACATCCTGAAAACAGCTATCTAAAGTCGATTAATACAGCTATATACTTGAAAAAAAATCGTTTAAAATGTTGAGTAAAGATCTAACTACAGACGCATTCCAACTTTAGCTCAACAGGAACACTTAACGACTACAATTGAACCCTCTCACAACCAGTGCTCATCACACCACTTCGGCAAGTAATCCGATAACATTACAAACCACCACTGTGCACGTCATTAAACTCTCAAAAACTGTAAAACTAAAATGGTCAAAATTATACACAAAAGTACTCGATACGGATTTAAAAGGTATAACCACATGACGTAATTTTTTTTCAGTCACCCCGAGCTCTCTGGTTGACTCTCGAGCCACTCCATTACATCCAGCCATCTCTCGGGATCCAACTGCATGGGATCGAAGGTGGAAACTTCTTTAGAACTCATTGCAGCACCTTGAATTTCAGCTTTTGATTTCAGTTTCCTATCATTGTGGACCTTCTGATGCCTGTTCCTGGTTGATGACTGTGAAAATGCCTCCCCACACACAGAGCACAAGAATGGCTTCTCGCCTGTGTGCGTTCTCTGGTGACGCTGAAGATGTGATGACTTTGCAAATGTCTTCCCACACACAGGGCACAAGAATGGCTTCTCGCCCGTGTGCGTTCTCTGATGAGTGTGAAGAGTTGTCGATTGTGCAAATGTCTTCCCGCACACAGGGCACAGGAATGGCTTCTCGCCCGTGTGCGTTCTCTGATGAGTTTGAAGAGTTGTCGATTGTGCAAATGTCTTCCCGCACACAGGGCACTGGAATGGCTTCTCGCCCGTGTGCGTTCTCTGATGAGTTTGAAGAGTTGTCGATTGTGCAAATGTCTTCCCACACACAGGGCACAGGAATGGCTTCTCACCCGTGTGTGTTTTCTGGTGACTCTGAAGATGTGATGAGTGTGCAAATGTCTTCCCACACACAGAACACAGGAACGACTTCTCGCCCGTGTGTGTTCTCTGGTGTCTCTGAAGATCTGATGGCCGTGAAAAGGACTTCCCACACACAGAGCAATTGAATTGCTTCTTTCCTCCGTGTGCGTGGGGCTGTGGAGAGCGTCTCTGCTCCATGTGAGCGTAGTAACAGCAGCGGTGTTATTGAGTCAAAAGTACGCTATCGGCCGCAAGGATGTTTAGCGTTTTGGATTTTGTTAACTGCTAAAACAAGAACGACACTCGCGTCTAACCGAGACGCAAAAAAATCCTGCTAATTTGACGACGAACACGTTTAAGAGTTTATCCGCGAAAATAGACACCTACTTGGAGATTCACGGTATATCGATGTCTGGAACCCGTCTGAAGATGTCGCCACGAACTCTCCCGACGCAAAGTCGCCTAACTGTCGACACAGCAATTGTGCTCGCCAGGCTGCGTTGTCTCGCGGTTGAAGGGCGATCAGCAGAGCGACGAGTCGAGGTTCCGAACTCATCAAGTTCCCTCTCGAAATGGCATTGAGCTCTGCTTCTGAGCCGCCTTATAACTCCCCCCCTAGGATCCAATCCTTTGTCTTTCAGGATATTTGCATTCGATTGGTAATTTTGGAAGGTACAATCCGCATGTCTATTAACATACCGAAGGGTAATGTGCCCATTGTGCTTCATGCATGAATATGTAAGTGCATCTCAGTGTGTAATTGTACGCTTATTTTGAATAAATGGAAAAACTTTGTCCTCGATTTAAAGTGAATGCAGTGAAATTAGCATGTAACTTTAGAAAAGGAAGAGAGCGGCCTTCTCGACGAGGGAGTGAAACCCAATAGGTAATATTATTTTACAGCGTTACAATGGATAGGTTGTAGTTCATAGGTTATAATATTATGTTTCACTATGATAAAGCTTAACATGTGAGAGTCTACAATATTAGAGTTGATCAAATGCGACGATCAAGGGCGTCAATCGGGTGAGTTTGATCAGAGGCTTTAATCAAAGGCGTCATCCCATCACGGAACACCACCTCCCTGCGTTTATTGCAGCAACAGAAACAACTACAGCAGCAACAACAGCAGCAGCGACAACAAAAGCAGCAACATCACATTTCGAGGGCAACGCAGCTACTTCCGATTCTGCTGCCCAGCTGTTTGTAGTCGGCACCTGCTCTCGCACGACCCTACACGTCTTTGGAAATGATTGCGATGATCATGTCTGAGCTGAGAATTAGGTCACTCAAGATTACTTTGTTTAACCATAACTTTAGGTAGGTTAGTGTCATCGGGGCTGTGTGACCACTACTCATGAATGAAATCACACTCCTGTATGACCGACATTGTACTAATTTTGGTTGATCGAGTAGAACAAGTCACATGACATGTCCAGACGAGTTATTATCAACAATAGTGTCCTTATATATGATGCTAAAATAAATGTTAACACTGGATTAAACGTGCATCTCTTAACCCCTCCCTCGCATTTACGACTAACGATTTGCATTTGCACGTAACATACATTCAAGCCAATTAAAATGCTAATACGACCATATTGTTATTTTGAAATTTGAATGCAAGTCTTGCCCTGTACCCCCCCACCCCACGGTTCACATATCCGACCCCCGATTGAACAGATAATTTACATACACATCTGTATGTCCCCCAAGTTGCTCCGCCCATGGTGGGGTCAGGTAGAGGTCATAGAGGTGGGTGATGTAAAGACAGTGCCTCAACTAAGAGACAAGTGATGACAACAAGATAGAGAGAGTTCGAGAAGGGAAGGCGAGACCAAGTGTGGGCGGAGGTTCACGCCGAGAATGAGAGAGGGGGAGGAACGAGGTTTGGGGCTGTGTTGGCTGGTTGCTGTCTCGTCGTCGTCGTTGCTATATCGTGACGCCTGGGGTCTGAAACCGCGTTAAAGGCTACATAAAAGAACCCTCTGCAGTCTGACTACAGAGTCATTACAATTATAACGATTCATTATTTCACGGGCTAATATTGGGTTTGTGCGATTATTTTACATATTCATACTGAATATTGCTATTTGATGCCATTGAGATGGAACATTCATCCAATAGTAGACAGCTTGATCCTAATACCTCCAAAGTGTTATTCAAATAATTTTAATCCCATCCTGATCCTGCACCTTCCGCTTCACATATCCCACCCTTGGTTCGCACGTCCATATTACATATGTAGGGGTTATTACGGGAGAAACGGCGGACAACAAACACAGGACTGTCGGCACTCACATACACGGGTGGTCACACCGACGTCCGCATCAGTTATTGCCCACGCCCCCAGCCCTCGGAGGCGATCCTTATAAAAGGTGGAGACCCAAAGAGCTCGAGTTCAGTTCGACACGAAGCTGACCAGTGAAGATCCAAGACTCGGAGATTAGGCCCTGGGACTCCCCGGTCTCGCCGTCCTTATAAGGGCCGAGCCGGGTAAGCCAGTGGCGCGGCCCAAGAGCTTCCAGACCGCTGCCCTTATCAGGGCAAGGCTGGTTAGCTGGTGCCGAGATCTGTGCTTGCCAGGGCCAGATCAGTCAGCCTCCCATAGCCCAGTAGAGGAGGACTGGGGGACAGGACAGAGGGCTTAGGAATAGGGTGGGTTTCCCATAGTACGGGTGAAGGGGCCGATACCCCTTCAACTATTGTGCCTGTCCCTGGGTTAATAAACAGAGTGTGCTTCAACTTCGACATCGTTTCCTCGAAATTACTACACATACATACATGTTACATGCATACATACTACATAGAGACATATCTCATGCATACATATTACATACAGACATGTTACATACATACATATTACATTCATGCATATTACATACAGACATGTTACATACTCACGAGCATAGTGTGATTCTTAGAGGACCACGGTGTGAAGCAAAGAATTCGAATGAGATTCGAATATCACACTTGTTTATGATGTTATTTTATAGCGTTATAATGTATCGCTGTTAGCTTATATTGTTAGAGTTCACAACATTATAGTTTACTATAACACTAGTTTGTAGTGTTATTTTTAAGCGTTACAGTGTATAGCTCATAGTTTGAAGGTTATATTGATAGAGTTTATAATGTTAGAGTATACAATGTGAGTTTACAATTTGAGAGTTTGTGAACGTGCCCTGTTCTCGTGGGACCCGACACGGATTTGGAAATAATTGCTAAGATCATGTCTGAGCTGAGATAAGCGACTAATGTTTACTTTGTTTAATCATAACTGTGTGTAGGTTAGTGCTATCGGGGCTTAGTGAATACTACTCATGAATGAACTCATACTTCTTTCGGATATAAATTGAAATCATGTTGGTAGAACAAGTCGCCTGCCTTTTCTAGACGAATTGTTATCTTCAAGTGCGTCCGTAAATAAACTGCTAAAATACACAGCATAGGGAAGGCTGTTTTGTTGGGGAGATGTAGTTTGGGTAAGGCGCTGTGGCCGGGTGATGACACGGATTCTGAAACAATGGAGTTTAACACTCGCTGCTTGGCCTCGTCGACAGCAGCGAAGACTGTCATATACCGCCCCATTTACGAGTTGGATGTATAATGTGTATAGTTGAAGGTGCTAGGTGTTGTTTTCTTCTAACAGCTACAAACGTGCGTGTGTTGTCTGTTTTTAGGATTTGTCCATTGATGTTGTTCTTTTTAATCCGGCGTTTTTTTGTTGAGTTCTGTCACTTGAGTGTTGCAGTTTGTTTAAGAATTCGTCACGTGAGCGTGGTGTTTTGCTTGTGGGAAATTCGCTTTGTCACAATTTGTGATTGTTATAATAATTGTAACGATTCATAATCTCATGAGTTCATAATGGGTTTGTGCGTGATTCTTATACGACCACACTGTGATTCTAATGATATTATAATACCTTACCTCCGTTTATATGGTTATAAATTAGAACATTAGTTTACAATCTTTTAATGTTTAGTGTTATCTTTTATAGTATTACAGTTTACATGTTATAGAATACAGTTTATCCCCGACATACTTCGGGATTAGGGACTGGTACGTTGATGAACGATTAACTACGGGGATCTTTACCCTCAAGGAACACGTGTTAATCGGGTAGACAGCCAAGATGCTGCCGGTTAAGGGCACACTTGTGTGACGGAGATCCTCCACCTAAAATTCTCTTAACATGTTTTAAGCTTGGAACATTATAAAATAAAGACCGGACAAACATTTGTTAAAAATACGTTTTTATTCATCTGCAATCATTTTTACGTCAAAACTCAAAGGGAATATTTATTATGTCCTATGTTCAAACATTTCCAGTACAATGCAAACCATTTCCGTTCCAGGAATACCAAAGCGTTAAAGTTTCATTCCCCATGATGTCCTTATTAGTTCACCACATTTGTTCACTGTGCGTCTATGTTGAAGTCAAGGCCATATATCCAACGAACGCGTCATCAATGTACATCCTGAAAACAGCTATCTAAAGTCGATTAATACAGCTATATACTTGAAAAAAAATCGTTTAAAATGTTGAGTAAAGATCTAACTACAGACGCATTCCAACTTTAGCTCAACAGGAACACTTAACGACTACAATTGAACCCTCTCACAACCAGTGCTCATCACACCACTTCGGCAAGTAATCCGATAACATTACAAACCACCACTGTGCACGTCATTAAACTCTCAAAAACTGTAAAACTAAAATGGTCAAAATTATACACAAAAGTACTCGATACGGATTTAAAAGGTATAACCACATGACGTAATTTTTTTTCAGTCACCCCGAGCTCTCTGGTTGACTCTCGAGCCACTCCATTACATCCAGCCATCTCTCGGGATCCAACTGCATGGGATCGAAGGTGGAAACTTCTTGAGGACTCATTGCAGCACCTTGAATTTCAGCTTTTGATTTCAGTTTCCTATCATTGTGGACCTTCTGATGCCTGTTAAGAGTTGACGACTGTGAAAATGCCTTCCCACACGCAGGGCACAGGAATGGCTTATCGCCCGTGTGTGTTCTCTGATGGTTTTGAAGAGTTGACGACTGTGCAAATGCCTTCCCACACACAGGGCACAGGAATGGCTTCTCGCCCGTGTGTGTTCTCTGATGACTCTGAAGATGTGATGAGTGTGCAAATGTTTTCCCACACACAGAGCACAGGATTGGCTTCTCACCCGTGTGTGTTTTCTGGTGTCTCTTAAGACTTGATGACCATGAAAATGCCTTCCCACACACAGAGCAATTGAATGGCTTCTTGTCTCCGTGTGCGTGGGGCTGTGGAGAGCGTCTCTGCTCCATGTGAGCGTAGTAACAGCAGCGGTGTTATCGAATCAAAAATACGCTATCGGCCGAAAGGATGTTTAGCGTTTAGTTTTGGATTTCGTTAACTGCTAAAACAAGAACGACACTCGCGTCTAACCGAGACGCAAAAAAATCCCGTAAATATGACGACAAAACACGTTTAAGAGTTTATCCGCGATAATAGACACTTACTTGGAGATTCACGGTATATGGATGTCTAGAACTCGTCTGAAGATGTCGCCACGATCTCTCCCGACGCAAAGTCGCCTAACTGTCGACACAGCAATTGTGCTCGCCAGGCTGCGTTGTCTCGCGGTTGAAGGGCGATCAGCAGAGCGACGAGTCGAGCGTCCAACCTCATCAAGTTCCCTCTCGAAATGGCATTGAGCTCTGCTTCTGAGCTTCCTTATAACTCCCCCCCTAGGATCCAATCCTTTGTCTTTCAGGATATTTGCATTCGATTGCTAATTTTGGAAGGTACAATCCGCATGTCTATTAACATACCGAAGAGTAATGTGCCCATTGTGCTTCATGCATGAATATGTAAGTGCATCTCAGTGTGTAATTGTGCGCTTATTTTGAATTAATGGAAAAACATTGTCCTCGATTCAAAGTGAATGCAGAGAAATTAGCATATAACTTTAGAAAAGGAAGGGAGCGGCCTTCTCGACGAGGAAGTGAAATCCAATAGCGTTACAATGGATAGGTTGTAGTTCATAGGTTATAATATTATGTTTCACTATGATAGAGCTTAAGATGCGAGAGTATACAATATCAGAGTTGATCAAATGCGACGATCAAGGGCGTCAATCGGGTGAGTTTGATCAGAGGCTTTAATCAAAAGCGTCATATATCACAGGAACAGAAGCAACTACAGTAGCAACAACAGTAGCGACAACAACAGCAGCAACATCACATTTCGAGGGCGACGCAGCTACTTACGATTCTGCTGCCCAGCTGTTTGTAGTCGGGACCTGCTCTCGCAGGACCCCACACGTCTTTGGAAATGATTGCGATGATCATGTCTGAGCTGAGAATTAAGTCACTCAAGATTACGTTGTTTAACCATAACTTTAGGTAGGTTAGTGTCATCGGGGCTCTGTGAATACTACTCATGAATGAAATCACACTCCTGTATGACCGACATTGTACTAATTTTGGTTGATCGAGTAGACGAATTCTTATCAACAACAGTGTCCTTAAATATGATGCTAAAATAAATGTTAACACTGGATTAAACGTGCACCTCTTAACCCCTCCCTCGCATTTACGACTAACGATTTGCATTTGCACTTAACATACATTATAGCCCATTAAAATGCTAATACTACCATATTATTATTCTAAAATGTGAATGCGATTCTTGCCCTGTACCCTCACAGTTAACATATCCTACCCCCGGTTCGATTGAACAGATAATTTACATACATATGTGTAGAGTGCGATTTTAATACTTCTAATGAGATTTAAATACCATACCTCCGTTTATGGTGCTATAAATTATAAAACCAGTTGATAATTTTTTGTCGTTTAATGTTTAGTGTTATTGTTTATAGTGTTATCAGTTTACATATTTTGTAGGTGCAGGTGATTCCCGGTATACTTCGGTATTCTGGACCTGAACGTTGCGAAACGATTCATAACGAGGACCTTTCCCCACCAGAGCGCAATCCGCTAATGAAAAGAACTCGGGGCGGCGGGAGCACGTGCTTCCATGGGCAGTGGGGGACAGGGCATGGTTGTATTGCCCACAGGTGCCACCGGGTATGTCCCCCAAGTTGCTCCGCCTATGGTGGGGTCAGGTAGAGGTCATAGAGGTGGGTGATGTAAAGACAGTGCATCAACTAAGGGACAAGTGGTGACAACAAGATAGAGAGAGTTCGAGAAGGGAAGGCGAGACCATGTGTGGGCGGAGGTTCACGCCGAGAATGAGAGAGGGGGAGTAACGATGTTTGGGGCTGTGTTGGCTGGTTGCTGTCTCGTCGTCGTTGCTATATCGTGACGCCTGGGGTCTGAAACCGCGTTAAAGGCTAAATAAAAGAGTTTGGAGCAATTACCATTTTAACGATTCATAATTGCACTGGCTTCAATTGGGTTTGTTCGATTAATTTATATATTCATACTGAATATTGCTATTTGATGCCATTGAGATGGAACATTCATCCAGCATTTGACAGCTTGATCCTAATACCACCAAGGTGTTATTCAAATAATTTTAAACCCATCCTGATCCTGCACCTTCCGTTTCACATATTCCACCCTTGGTTGGCACGTCCATATTACATGCATACATGTTATATACATGCATGTACCATGTTACATACATACATGTTACATACATACATGTTACATACTTACGAGCAGAGTGTGATTCGAAGAGGACCACGGAATGATTCTAATAATTCGATTGAGAATCAAATATAACACTTCATTGTACGGTTTGCTAATCTATAACACTAGTTAATAATGTTCTTTTATAACGTTTTAATGTATAGCTCATAGGTTATATTGTTAGAGTTCACACATTTAGAGTTTACTTTAACACTTGTTTATGGTAATTTGTATATTCTTCAAATGTATATGTTAATGTTTTTAAATTATATTGTTGGAGTTCAAATTGTTAACGTTCACAGTGTGAGAGTTTACAATGTAAGAGTATATCAAAGGCGTCGATCGAGAGCGTTGATCTGGTAGGTTTGATCAGCGTTTTTTTTATATATAAGCCGTTATCCTCTTACGGGACACCAACATGCTGCGTATATAACAGTGCTCTCGTGGGACCCCACACGTCTATGGAAATAATTGAGATGATCCTATCTGAGCTGAGATTTGAGCGTTATCGTTTATAGTATTACAGTTTACATGTTATAGAGTACAGTTTATCCCCGACATACTTCGGGATTAGAGACTGGTACGTTGATGAACGATTAACTACGGGGACCTTTCCCCTCAAGGAACACGTGTTAATCGGGTAGACAGCCAAGATACTGCCGGTTAAGGGCATACTTGTGTGACGGAGATCCTCCACCTGACATTATATGAACATGTTTTTGCTAGGAACATTATAAAATAAAGACCATACAAACATTTGTAAAAAATACGTTTTTATTCATCTGCAATCATTTTTACGTCAAAACTCGAGGGGAATATTTATTACATTTCCAGTACAATGCAAACCATTTCCGTTCCAGGAATACCAAAGCGTTAAAGTATCATTCCCCATGATTTCACCACATGCGTTCACTGTGCGTCTATGTTGAAGTCAATGCCATATATCCAACGATCGCGTCATCAATGTACATCCTGAAATCAGCTATCAAAAGTCGATTAATACCAATCGAAAACCGCTATATACTTGAAAAAAAATCGTTTAAAATGTTGAGTAAAGATGTACCTACAGACGCATTCCAACTTTAGCTCAACAGGGACACTTAACGACTACAATTGAACCCTCTCACAACCAGTGCTCATCACACCACTTCGGCAAGTAACCCGATAACATTACAAACCACCACTGTGCACGTCATTAAACTAAAAAAAAAACTATAAAACTAAAATGGTCAAAATTACACACAAAAGTACTCGATACGGCTTAATAGGTATAACCACATGACGTAATATTTTTTCAGTCACCCCGAGCTCTCTGGTTGACTCTCGAGCCACTCCATTACATCCAGCCATCTCTCGGGATCCAACTGCATGGGATCGAAGGTGGAAACTTCTTGAGGACTCATTGCAGCACCTTGAATTTCAGCTTTTGATTTCAGTTTCCTATCATTGTGGACCTTCTGATGCCTGTTAAGAGTTGACGACTGTGAAAATGCCTTCCCACACGCAGGGCACAGGAATGGCTTATCGCCCGTGTGTGTTCTCTGATGGTTTTGAAGAGTTGACGACTGTGCAAATGCCTTCCCACACACAGGGCACAGGAATGGCTTCTCGCCCGTGTGTGTTCTCTGATGACTCTGAAGATGTGATGAGTGTGCAAATGTTTTCCCACACACAGAGCACAGGAATGGCTTCTCACCCGTGTGTGTTTTCTGGTGTCTCTTAAGACTTGATGACCATGAAAATGCCTTCCCACACACAGAGCAATTGAATGGCTTCTTGTCTCCGTGTGCGTGGGGCTGTGGAGAGCGTCTCTGCTCCATGTGAGCGTAGTAACAGCAGCGGTGTTATCGAATAAAAAATACGCTATCGGCCGAAAGGATGTTTAGCGTTTAGTTTTGGATTTCGTTAACTGCTAAAACAAGAACGACACTCGCGTCTAACCGAGACGCAAAAAAATCCCGTAAATATGACGACAAACACGTTTAAGAGTTTATCCGCGAAAATAGACACTTACTTGGAGATTCACGGTATATGGATGTCTAGAACTCGTCTGAAGATGTCGCCACGAACTCTCCCGACACAAAGTCGCCTAACTGTCGACACAGCAATTGTGCTCGCCAGGCTGCGTTGTCTCGCGGTTGAAGGGCGATCAGCAGAGCGACGAGTCGAGCGTCCAACCTCATCAAGTTCCCTCTCGAAATTGCATTGAGCTCTGCTTCTGAGCTGCCTTATAACTCCCCCCCTAGGATCCAATCCTTTGTCTTTCAGGATATTTGCATTCGATTGCTAATTTTGGAAGGTACAATCCGCATGTCTATTAACATACCGAAGAGTAATGTGCCCATTGTGCTTCATGCATGAATATGTAAGTGCATCTCAGTGTGTAATTGTGCGCTTATTTTGAATTAATGGAAAAACATTGTCCTCGATTCAAAGTGAATGCAGAGAAATTAGCATATAACTTTAGAAAAGGAAGAGAGCGGCCTTCTCGTCGAGGAAGTGAAATCCAATAGCGTTACAATGGATAGGTTGTAGTTCATAGGTTATAATATTATGTTTCACTATGATAGAGCTTAAGATGTGAGAGTATACAATATCAGAGTTGGTCAAATGCGACGATCAAGGGCGTCAATCGGGTGAGTTTGATCAGAGGCTTTAATCAAAAGCGTCATCCCATCACAGAACACCACCTCCCTGCGTATATGCAGCAACAACAGTAGCGACAACAAAAGCAGCAACATCACATTTCGAGGGCGACGCAGCTACTTACGATTCTGCTGCCCAGCTGTTTGTAGTCGGGACCTGCTCTCGCAGGACCCCACACGTCTTTGGAAATGATTGCGATGATCATGTCTGAGCTGAGAATTAAGTCACTCAAGATTACGTTGTTTAACCATAACTTTAGGTAGGTTAGTGTCATCGGGGCTCTGTGAATACTACTCATGAATGAAATCACACTCCTGTATGACCGACATTGTACTAATTTTGGTTGATCGAGTAGACGAATTCTTATCAACAACAGTGTCCTTAAATATGATGCTAAAATAAATGTTAACACTGGATTAAACGTGCACCTCTTAACCCCTCCCTCGCATTTACGACTAACGATTTGCATTTGCACTTAACATACATTATAGCCCATTAAAATGCTAATACTACCATATTATTATTCTAAAATGTGAATGCGATTCTTGCCCTGTACCCTCACAGTTAACATATCCTACCCCCGGTTCGATTGAACAGATAATTTACATACATATGTGTAGAGTGCGATTTTAATACTTCTAATGAGATTTAAATACCATACCTCCGTTTATGGTGCTATAAATTATAAAACCAGTTGATAATTTTTTGTCGTTTAATGTTTAGTGTTATTGTTTATAGTGTTATCAGTTTACATATTTTTTAGGTGCAGGTGATTCCCGGTATACTTCGGTATTCTGGACCTGAACGTTGCGAAACGATTCATAACGAGGACCTTTCCCCACCAGAGCGCAATCCGCTAATGAAAAGAACTCGGGGCGGCGGGAGCACGTGCTTCCATGGGCAGTGGGGGACAGGGCATGGTTGTATTGCCCACAGGTGCCACCGGGTATGTCCCCCAAGTTGCTCCGCCTATGGTGGGGTCAGGTAGAGGTCATAGAGGTGGGTGATGTAAAGACAGTGCATCAACTAAGGGACAAGTGGTGACAACAAGATAGAGAGAGTTCGAGAAGGGAAGGCGAGACCAAGTGTGGACGGAGGTTCACGCCGAGAATGAGAGAGGGGGAGGAACGAGGTTTGGGGCTGTGTTGGCTGGTTGCTGTCTCGTCGTCGTTGCTATATCGTGACGCCTGGGTCCTAAGCAGCGTTAAAGGCTAAATAAAAGAACCCTCTGCAGTCTGAGTCTGGAGTCATTACAATTGTAACGATTCATTATTTCACTGGCTAATATTGCGTTTGTGCGATTATTTTACATACTCATACTGAATATTGCTATTTGATGCCATTGAGATGGAACATTCATCCAATAGTGGACAGCTTGATCCTAATACCACCAAAGTGTTATTCAAATAATTGTAATCCCATCCTGATCCTGCACCTTCCGTTTTAACATATTCCACCCTTGGTTCGCACGTCCATATTACATACATACATTTTACATGCATACATATTACATACAGACATGTTACATACATACATATTACATACAGACATGTTACATACTGACGAGCATAGTGTGATTCTTAGAGGACCACGGTGTAAAGCTAAGAATTCGAATGAGATTTGAATATCACACTTCAATGTACGGTGTTCTAATCTGTAACACTAGTTTATGATGTTATTTTATAGCGTTATAATGTATCGCTCACAATACTATAGTTTACAATAACACTAGTTTATAGTGTTATTTTAAAGCGTTACATAGTTTAACGGTTATATTGTTAGAGTTTATAATGTTAGAGTATACAATGTGAGTTTACAATTTGAGAGTTTGTGGACGTGCCCTGTTCTCGTGGGACCCGACACGGATTTGGAAATAATTGCTATGATCATGTCTGAGCTGGGATGAGCGACTAATGTTTACTTTGTTTAATCATAACTGTGTGTAGGTTATTGCCATCGGGGCTTAGTGAATACTACTCATGAATGAACTCATACTTCTTTCGGATAGAAATTTGAAATCGTGTTGGTAGAACAAGTCGCCTGCCTTTTCTAGACGAATTTTTATCTTCAAGTGTGTCCGTAAATAAACTTGCTAAAATACACAGCATAGGGAAGGCTGCCTTGTTGGGGAGATGTAGTTTGGCTAAGGCGCTGTGGCCGGGTGATGACACGGATTCTGAAACAATGGAGTTAAACACTCGCTGCTTGGCCCCGTCGACAGCAGCGAAGGCTGTTTTATAGCGCCCTATTTACGAGTTCGCTGTATAATGTGTATAGTTGAAGGTGCTAGGTGTTGTCTTCTTCTAACAGCTACTAACGTGTGTGTATTGACTGTTTTTTGGATTTGTCCATTGATGTTTTTCTTTTTATTGCGGCCTTTTTTGTTGAATTTTGTCACTTGAGTGTTGCAGTTTGTTTAAGAATTCGTCACGTGAGCGTGGTGTTTTGCATGTGGGAATTTCTCTGTCACAATTTGTGATTGTTTTAATAATTGTCACCATTCATAATCTGATGAGTTTATAATGAGTTTGTGCGTGTATTTATATAAATATATTCCGTCTTTTGTTATTCGATGACATCTAGCATTAAAAATCGTAATTGTCATATGACCATGTTGTAATTGTAATAATTTTTATCCGATCTTTGCACGTCCACTATACAAACATATGAGCATAGTGCGATTCGTATACGACCACACTGCTTCTAATGATTCTAATGATATTATAATACCTTACCTCCGTTTATATGGTTATAAATTAAAACACTAGTTTATAATCGTTTAATGTTTAGTGTTATCGTTTATAGTATTACAGTTTACATGTTATACAGTACAGTTTATCCCCGACATACTTCGGGATTAGTGACTGGTACGTTGATGAACGATTAACTACGGGGACCTTTCCCCTCAAGGAACACGTGTTTAATCGGGTAGACAGCCAAGATGCTGCCAGTTAAGGGCACACTTGTGTGACGGAGATCCTACACCTGGAATTATCTTAACATGTTTTTGCTATGAACATTATAAAATAAAGAACGGACAAACATTTGTTAAAATACGTTTTTATTAATCTGCAATAATTTTTACGTCAAAACTCGAACCGAATGTATTATGTCCTATGTTCAAACAGTTACAGTGCAATGCAAACCATTTCCGTTCCAGGAATACCAAAGCGTTAAAGTATCATTCCCCATGATTTCCTTATTAGTTCACCACATTTGTTCACTGTGCGTCTATGTTGAAGTCAAGGCCATATATCCAACGAACGCGTCATCAATGTACATCCTGAAAACGGCGATCTAAAGTCGATTAATACCAATCAAAAACAGCTATATACTTGACAAAACCCTTTGAAAATGTTGAGTAAAGATGTACCTACAGACGCATTCCAACTTTAGCTCAACAGGAACACTTAACGACTACAATTGAACCCTCTCACAACCAGAGCTCATCACACCACTTCGGCAAGTAATCCCATAACATTACAAACCACCACTGTGCACGTCATTAAACTCTCACAAAAACTGTAAAACTAAAATTACACACAAAAGTACTCGATACGGCTTAATAGGTATAACCACATGACATCATATTTTTTCAGTCACCCCGAGCTCTCTGGTTGATCCTCGAGCCACTCCATTACATCCAGCCATCTCTCAGGATCCAACTGCATGGGATCGAAGGTGGAAACCTCTTTAGGACTCATTGCAGCACCTTGAATTTCAGCTGTTGATTTCAGTTTCCTATCATTGTGGACCTTCTGATGCCTGTTCATGTTTGATGAGTGTGCAAATGCCTCCCCACACACAGGGCACAAGAATGGCTTCTCGCCCGTGTGTGTTCTCTGGTGACGCTGAAGATGTGATGAGTTTGCAAATGTCTTCCCACACACAGGGCACAGGAATGGCTTCTCGCCCGTGTGTGTTCTCTGGTGAGTTTGAAGATTTGATGCCTGTGCAAATGTCTTCCCACACACAGGGCACAGGAATGGCTTCTCGCCCGTGTGTGTTTTCTGATGGCGTTGGCAGTTTTCTGAAAGTGAAAATGCTAACCCACACACAGAACACAGGAACGGCTTCTCACCCGTGTGTGTTCTCTGGTGGC